CTTGCTACTAGTAGTATTGCCAGGAGCTACTAGTAGCTTCTTGCTACCAGTAGTATTGCCCTTGTTACTAGTAGCGATGCCCTTGGTACCAGTAGCGTCCTTGCTACTAGTAGTATTGCCAGGAGCTACTAGTAGTGGAGGCGGTTTTCAATGCTTTTTGAGCGGTTTTTGGACCTGCTTCCCTTCACTTCTTCGCTTCGTCTTCTTCCGCCTTCGCGCGGAGCTGTACCAAGAGGGGTGGGAAGAGCTATCTCAGACTCCCCGCTGTATGGAATGATATGGAATGTGTATACATCGATATTTATTGTCAATATACGCACATATTACATTGTATTGATAGTACAATATATTATAGATATACACACACCTATATTGGGGTGGTTGAACAGGGTTGGGTATAGAATCTGCATAAGGTTACGTTGAATTTTCCCTATGGGTTATTAATCCCCTCGTGAATATGTTACATTTTTCCAGGTTCCTGGATAGCAAATCCAACATTAAGTACTCAGCTTGAAAGCAGATGCAACACTTCCACTTGCCAGGCGTGGGCTGGCAGGACTCGAGTTCCGCGTCGAAGATTTCGCGCTCCAATTTCGCGAACTCGCGCGTCGTGACGCGAGCGATTAGGACATCCACAGTCTCCCAGAAGACCGAAGCCGCTACTGAACGCCCAGTCGGGCCCAGTCGGGATCCAGTCGCCTAGGGGAACGGTGATCTCGTGCGCACAAGCTACAGGATCCAACCCGTTTGCTCTTCGCTTCCACGATCTGTCGTGGGACTGGCATATTTGCCTTCTCAGGCCAGGGTTGGTTTCAGTCAATGTAGGCATATAGGCATATATTCCATAATTACATGGAGTATCCGGGTTTGATGGTTCTTTAAGATGCTTCGTGAGAAGTGCTGATTTGGGACACATCACTGTGAATCACCTAATATATAAATGGATCCAGCGCCCATACTACCGGTCGGAGCAACGCCTAATCTCAGTTCCAACTTCAGGGGAAACTCGCTGATGGCAACTTGGATCAGTGCTGTTCAGCAAAAACGTGTTTTCATAGAAGGGGGGACCGACGTAAACACTGAACCGGTTTGATGAGCTAGGACCATTGTGGACCAAAAGGCCAAAAAAAAAAGGGTTCAGGAGGTGGAACAAGGGTGTTAGGGAGAGGTGGTGGAACAAGTGCGGTTGAACAAGTGCTCGGCTCCCAGGAGATCTGGAGCTTGAGCACTCCAAAGGCACGCCTCTGAAAAGCCGTGTCGCGGGTCGGCCAGGATCTAGCAGCTGGGCTTACAGTAGCGCATGCTGAATGCTATGTCTCAAGGACCCGACACAGAGCTTGGGCTTCCAGCCAGACGAAAAGAAGGTATACCGAGCTGCGAGCAGCTCGGTCTTTTGACCCGTGAAAGGACCTACACACAGGCTCGGCTGGGCACGAAAAAAAAAGACGAACGATACAAAGCAAGGGGTGACCTTCCACTTTCCGAATGACCGCTGGGCACGTGGTGACCATGCAAGGGCCGCAAGGGGTGACCACTGCAGAGGTCCAAACTATCCGCTTCGGAGGAGTCCAGACATCGCACGGGAGCGGAGCTGAACGAGTTCCAAACGGTAAAATGAAGAATGAAGGACACGACCTGTCAGCTTCTTTGGTTTGGAGCTTACACCCAAACCAAATGGACACCAAATGGTTCCGTTTTCCGTTCCGACTCGTGCCCATTCGCCGTCTGAATGCATCAGGTCTGAGCCTGGTGCATTCGCCTGACTCGCGGTCAGACCTGGTGCGTTTGCCTGCCCAGACACGACCTGTCTGGGACTGCCAGTCCGGACTGCCGAATTTCACGGTCAGGGGTGGTTGACTGGGGGTCTGGCTTGATCGGCAGTCCGGACTGGCAGTCCCATGGGTCGTGTCTGGGCAATATGAAAAGATCAAGTTGCAGTGTGTGGGTTCTATTCTTTCTGGGGATGGGGCAGACAATACATTCAATATTAATGGAATTTAGTGCCTGCAGGAGGCCATTGCAAGTTGACCAGCCGAGCCTGGACGTGGGGGATGGCTGGTTCAACAGCGGTCCACTGTGTAAACGACCAAGACGTAGGGTCGTGTACAGCAATCTTTGGTCAACAATTGCCTGGCTACCTCAAACCCATGGCGACAGGCTACAAAACCTTTTTTTTGAAAACAAAGGGCTACCCTGCCCGGACACGGCGACTTGAAAACGTGGCCCCGGTACACACTTGTGGAAAGAGAAACCTATCGCTCAAGAGCCAGATATAATTTCGGTGGATGAGAAAGCACGCTATGGAATTTCTAGGAAGGGATATGGGTGTGTAACGCGTTGAACTTTAATAGGAAGACCCCTAACATCCCCTAACTAATGGACCGGTGTTGGTCTATATTCCTTCTTCCATCACACCGATATGGCACTATGGAGTCTTCAAGATGCACTCCTTGAAATCATCCTGGGTACGTGACACAGGGAGTGAAGTTTTCACCTGTCATGGTCATCTGAAATCGGGTGCATGCCATCAACATAACTATTTCAGAGGATGTTTCCACCAAGTCATATCACTCAATCTAGGGAAGTCCAGTTGAGTATTGCTCGCAGACAGAAACTCTTGGTTTGAGGCTGGGAAGCTCTCGTGGAGTCATATTCATCCCAAACCAACGCGTTGAGAAAGCTGCCCAAAGGAACTGATTCAGGGGTTGTCCCTTACGCTTTTGGGTTCAAGATGGTTCAAGCATTTTCCATAAGCCAAGCTATGTCAGGGTGGACTATAAAGAGATGAAGGACTTTGCATCATTTCAGATTGGAACTGGGTGACTGGCAACTGGGTGTTAAGAAACCTGAGGACAACAAACTGTTTCTGGCTCCTTCTGGGGGGGGTCAGAGGTCAATTCTCATCTTCTTTAGCTATCCTTATAGGTTTGTTCTTTCAAACGGCAGGGCTTGGATGGAGTCCCAGTCTGCCAGCTCGGACACGGAGTCTTAGGAAGCCCAAGTAGTTGGGTCCACGCATGACGGCCAGCACGACTGATGGCCACTGCCGTTTGAAGGCCGAGATTTTAGGCTGAGGAAAGTACGATTTGCGCGATTTGGGTACTGAGCTGAACAACAAGTTCCTCGACCACCAACATCCTGAGTAGGTCAAATAGACAGGGATGCTCAACCTTCGAAAAGGGTGTGCCGCACCCTTTTCGCGGGGTGCGCGTCCAAGGTTGCATGCGCAAACAGCATAGATGAATGAGCCACATCGCGGATTCCCTTGAACAAGATGCTTCACCTTAGCTTTGAGTCTGGTGCCCAGGCTTCAACCAACTATCCAACGCCACCTTTTGAAGCAAAACTTTTGAGGAAGACTACCAGGAATGGGGTCACGAGCAAAGTCCCCAAAGAGGTCACGAACTGAAAAGGTCTTGGTTTACTAGGAGCGGTCGGACGCGACTAGTAGCTGCTGGCCTTACTATACTAGGAACAAGAAGCTACTAGTTGCAAAGACTCTAAAAACTCTTGTACCATCCTATGCCCAAGCTGCCCTGTGTGCTGCTTTCCTCAGGCCTTCCTGCCGTTGGGCTGAGTATCAAGAGCCACTGCTTGGGCGCTCAAAAGTGTGTCATATGGAGATGCGTCAGAACCTGGAGCCCCAAGCTTGACCTTCCAGCTAGGTCAACCAAGGTATCCTGGTTTTGATCCACAGCCATACATAAAAAAACATAGTAGCAACATCTATATAGAATTATATTATATATATAGTTATACATATTACACATATAGTCAGAGAGTCTCGAGAGAGAAGAAGAGACCTCCATCCATGGCGTTGGCTGTGTAGTTCCATCCCTCCCGAAGAAAAAAAAAGAAGAAGAAAGACAACGTGATGAGGATTTTGTTTGAGCCCAACATTTGGGTGGCGAAAGAGTATGCTTCAGACCGGCGAACATCTTGTTTCACCCACGTCTACAGCCTGGCTGCCCACGTTGTACAGATCTGGAGCCTTCCCGACTCGTGTCCAGAGCAGATCATGTGAGTCTTTGGGGGCCCATACGCAACAGTTATTACTAGCGAAGTAGGTGGTTCCAA